TATATATATATATATATATATATATATATATATATATATAAAGTGTTATGGTAACAAATATAAGTGGTCTTCATCTGCACCACAGTCTCCTTTATCATGACCCCGCATTATGATGTAAACCAAAAACACTTGGTGTGCCTTTTTTATAAAATCCTAATTCACAAGCATCTTCACAGACGAAAAATCTAACCAATCCACACAAATAGATAAACCATCTACTCAATCATATGGATAGACATAAACTCATTCTGTATGTAATACCAATCTATACCAGCTAATATGCATCTAGTTCAGTTGCAAATTTTAAAGGGATAACAACCAGACGTACATGTTGTTTGGTGGGACCATCATTGTCCAGGACAAAGATGTACGGTTGAACAGAACCAAGTGTATTATTTGTATTTAGAGACCATAAAGTTATCTGCAAAAAACCTCAGCCTGGTGAAGATTTTACAAAGAAAATAAAAAAATGGAAGGAAGATAACTGAAAGGCTTCAATGGCAGAAATCAAGTCCAATTGGTACATGGGTGAATTTTATTTTCTGTGAAATTTTAGATATATTTTGCATGGGAAGGTCTTTCCATGCTTCACTCTATAACTGCTTATTACTTTATATTTACAGAGATGTAGATTACCCATCAAATGTATACTGATGCATCACCAAAGAGATTCAGATGACTAACAAAAAGCACAATGGTTTCCATCACACATTTTCCTTCCACTCAACTTTCCATCTATATGCTTGGATCCGGTGCCCTAAAAACAGTCAGCTTCTTCAGCAAAGAGCATTTTATAGCCTGCCCTCATTATGAAGGAAGCTAATGACGGTTTGCTGAACAACTCTCAATTCAGCAGCCTTACTCGTTATTCATTATTTGACTACAACTACATAAATATATTCACTACCAAAATGTGCAAAACAAATATAAGAAGCCATTTTTTTCTAGAATTTCAACCTTAAAAGTGTTCAAATATCTACAACCCTGAGCTCTGATGACCAAGATTTACACCGCTGTGCTTTGAAAGTCACTCACACATCATGTGGTAAAGATCTCAGTGGATTTCCTCTTTCATTTCCAAGAACTTGAAATGCTGACAAGCTGTTTTCCTCCAGCAAAATCTAGGATACCTTCAAGCTTTTAATGTCCCAGGTGGACTGGCTGAGGGATTGACCAGTTAAACTGACTCGTGAGACAAATGTGAGAAGGAAGATAGACCAAGAAATCAAGCAATGCAGAATATACTGCTTGGGCGATTGTTAGGAGGACTTGGAGGAAGATGAATTGGCTGGTAGGAAGGATCACTGAACACAGCAAACAAAGACAGATGGAGAGAGATGTGGTGTGGGAAGACAAATGTCTCTGCTGATAGTCGAGTGCAGTTTGATGTTGTCCACAAGTAGCCTGATGAATGAGGGGAAGGAAGAGACACTTGGTTGTACAGTATTGGTGAACAAATATGCTTTAAATGCTTCTAAATAGATTTGGATGCATTGTAGTTTTCATTTAAAAATAACCATTTTATGTTTTGTTTGGTGTAATGAAATGTGCCATTATCCTATGTTTGCAACTGTTCTTTAAAATAATAGGTTCTTGTGTTTTATTCCCTCAGTTAATAATGCATCGCAGTTTGCCAGCATCATCCACTGGATCAGCCTGGCTATCCTTTCTGTGTTCTTCACTGAGGTGAGTCCTCCCCTGCTCAAAAGCAATCTCACTTACAGCCGATGCAGCGACCTGACGATTAATGCTGCGCTGTGCAGTATGTTGCTCCAATCAAATGCACCAGCAGGTTCGCAACACAAAACTAGAGCAGCTTTCAAATGCCCTGTACTCTCATTCACTGTGCAAACACACTGATACCTGTGATCCCAAATGAAATGTCCCTCAGGGAAGAATGCGTTTTCAAAGGACTGTTGTTTCTGCTGTTTTGAAATACAGACGGAGCTTTTTTTTACCACCATTCTCCTCAGAAGCCTTTTATCAATTATCTTTTTCTTTGCAATGGCCATTTTCATCTTAGCTTTTAACACTTAAACACCTGCTTTTAAACTTTATTCTACAAGGTTCAATTATTTGACATGGATTATTTCAACTGTTTCAGTTTTTGTTTTGACTGTTGAATGTATTGTCATTTTTAAACCTCACCTCACATATTCACAAATATGAAAAAAAAAACAACTACATTTTACATATATATCTTACACCTCTGAAAGTGAAACAAATTGTTTTTTTTACCCTGAAAAGGTCATAAAATTGTAACAGCACCACTTACAGGTATGCTGCTGCATTGCATTGTGTGCTAGTTTTATAAAAGTGTATAAGTTAATGTGATGCTATTTGTTTAAAATGACAACCACATGTTAAACACCTCACACAGTGCTTTGAATATGCCTTGAGTATACATAGAACCCTCTAGAACTTATTTTGCTTCATTTTTATGTTTGACAAACAAAGATTATTGCTTTGAACATTGTCCTAGAAATGAAACATGCATCAATGAAAAGGTAGCACTAGAAATTTTATACTTGTGCATTTATACATTTAGTCAAATGGAAATAAAACATGGCCTCTGTTGACATGTGTGTGCAAGTGTAAACAGCCCCCCAAAGACTTCTGGTAACAAACCCAAATAATCCTTATGCCTCAGAGCATGTGTAAAGAAAGTTAAGGCAGGATATACAGTAGTTCAATTACGCACTATCAGCAAAAAGCCGCTCTTTTGTTTATTTGCCTATTTGTGGGGAAAATTATATAATCCGCTTAGGGCTGAAACAATTTATCAGATTAGTTGACGATTATTAAAAATAATTGTCGACTAATTTAGTAATAGATAAATCTTTAAATGGAGAATAGAGACTCAAAACATGCCTTTAGCTAACAGAGCGACCCAGTAAATTATATCAAAATTGTAAAAAATAAAAATAAACATTTTGCATTTAAGTTAAAGAAAAAAAATTGCCTCAATATGCTCTATCCAAAACTCCTCAATTGGTCAAGTTTTAGTTTCAACTGGTTTAATTTTGTAAGAAATCTTCTTTAAGGAACCTTTGGCTATCCATCGATTAATTGAAAAAATAATCGACAGATTAATCAAATTGCAAAATAATCGTTAGTTGCAGCCCCAAATCCGCTAATAAAACTCTCAGAGCTCACACTTTATTTAGCCACGGTGCTCAAACAAAGCAAAGAAATTATTTATTTTTACGTTTTATTTTAGAGGGATGAAAAAAAAATGGATTTATTAATTTATTTAATATTATCTGTTTTTTGGTCTACAGTGTTTACAACAGGCTAAAATTATCAAACAAAAATACATGACCAACCTTACCAAAATCATGTATACCTTGTTTATTAATTATAAATTAATAATATGAATGTAAAAAAGGAAATGAAAGAAATTTACCTTTGGGCATCAAAAGGTTAGAGTGAACTTTTTTCAACTTCTTTTAACAGTATTTTCCCTCCTGCTTTTATTCCATAAAGAGTAAAATTGTGGAATACATGACTAATTCTCCAGCCTGAGCTGTTAATCGCTGCAGCTCCTCAAGAGTTACCAGAGTTCCAATTAATGTTCTCTCTGCCTATATATTTGTTAATATTTTTTTTGTTTTTTATTTCTTGCAATCCGGATGTATACGGTTTACAGATATTGAAAACTCCAAATTATCTGAGAAAATTAGAACATTACATAAAATCAATAAAAACAAATACATCTTCATATTTACGCACTTAATACCTTGCTGGCCATTGTTTTGCATTAATTACTGCTAATGGAAACTCAGGATTCAATAGAGAACTTTGATAGAGAACCTTAGGTAATCTACATTGTTGGGCCTGCAGTCTCTCAATTTCCACAATACAACACCACCATTATTTTTTGTGGGGTTTAGATCAGGCCAGCTTGGCAGCTAATCATACCCAGTACCATCAATTGCTGAATTAGCATTTAGCACCCTTGGCGGTGTGGATAGGTACCAAGTGCTGATGCAAAATGAAATCAGCATCACCATAAAGCTTCTCGTCAGAAGGAACCATAAACTGCACTAAAAGTCCTTGGTGGATGTCTGTTTTGACTGTGGAATTTGGAAAAGATAATGGATCAACATCCGCAGATGACATGCCACCCTGCTAATCACCACTGACTGTGGAATCTTCAATTGAACTCTAAGGACCAGGGATTCTCTTTTCCGTCCACTGAACTTTCTATGTATATGCAAGGGTACTTCAGTCTGTGACAGTCTGCCGTTTTAATGATGACCTTCTGTGGCTCACCCTCCTTGTGGAGAGGATCAGTGACGGCTCTCTGGAAACCTGTGCAGTCAGCACTGTTCCCCATGACTGTGTAGCAAACTCACCCAGAATTAGAGGACATTTAGATGCTCAGGACACCTTTGCAGGTGTTTTAAAATAATTAGCTGATTAGGTTGTTATTGTTTGAATTCCTATCATTTAATTTTTCAGAAGAATTCAGGTTTTCATTATATACGTATATATGTAAATATAAAATGGAGTTTTATACGGAATTATTTGACCAAAAAATTTAGTTTTTTATTATTTCACATTTTTTCAGCTATAAACATACCTCTTCACTGGTTTCAGTAATTTTCAACGTGATGTATTCTTTCCCCCCTACTTTAACAGACTATATGTGCACCATCTTGATTTGCTTTTTCACATAAAATCCCAAGAAAACCCATTAAGGTTGTCTGTAAATTGTCTGAAATAAGTTTATCCATTAAAAGTCTGTGATTTTTACATGACATAATGTAAAGCTCAAGCGACATGCAAAGACACTGTATGGATGCATCTGCAGCCAGGTAAATATGGTTAGTGAGTAGGCAAGGCAGCATGATAACGGAGGTATGTGTTCATCTAGAGAGACACACTATGAAACCAAGGTATGAAAACAATGAAAGATAATGAGAGTATTTATACAGCTCTTTCATAACTATAAGAAAACTTGAAGTTCTTAAAAAAAGACAGGTATTTAAATGAATGTAGTGTAATTGGATAAATTGAGAAAATCTTCTTATAACCTTGTTTTTTCTGTCCCACCACTGCTGCTCTTAGACGGTGTTCAGGATTGTGGTGCTGGGGATATGGGATTACATTGAGAACAAAGTAGAGGTGAACTCTTTCATGTCTTATAAGAAGTAAATTGATTTGGGGGGGAGAGGTTGTTCTGCAGGTGTCATAACACAGGAGTTGCCTTTTTGTTCCAGGTGTTTGATGGAGCTGTCATCGTACTCTCTCTGGCCCCCATGGTGGCCTCCACAGTGGCCAACGGCCCCAGCAGCCCCTGGGATGCCATCGGCCTCATTATCTCATTTCGCATCTGGAGGGTGAAGAGAATAATTGACGGTGAGCCAGGAGTGGTTAATGTCCTCTACATCCTGTCCTCACAGAGCAAATGCTCCTTATCCTCTTTTCACACATCCTAATTGTAATAGGCAGGGCATATTTTTATCTAAAGGTGATTGTGATGCTACAAAACTCTGCTTGACACTCATTTTATTAAGTGATATACATGGTGCTCCCTCTTGTGGCCATTTTAGTGAATTACAGGATGAATAATGATTAAAAAAATTATGATTACTTCAAAAATATTTATAGTTAAAAATGTTAACAAATTCCTAATTCTATTAGATTATCCATTCATAATCTATAGATAATTTGTTATTCTTTTTATCAATTCTTAAAATCGAGGGCAAATAAGAGATGTTGGAGGCCTTTAAGCTATATGAAGATGATCCAGGTCACTGTCTTCTAAAGTCTCTGAAATATTAAGTTAGTCAATAGTTTAAATCAAAAGCCAAGGTAAGCTTATGTATATTGCACAAAAATAGTTTATTTAAAATTATCTGTTAATTTGAGGGATTATTGTACTTGAGATCATACATTACTTCGATTTGTCCCGCCAACCATTCTTGCATAGTTTCCCTATGACTCAGGACAGCCTTGTGTATAAATAATGTTTAAACTCCTCCAACGGTTAAGGGTTTGGTCGAAAATGTAACTTGTTTTAGTGTTATTCCAACTTTGAATGGGAAGGAAAGCATAATTTGTACCTTAAACGTTTAGATGCTAAACTTGCATATGCCAGATTGATATGTGTAGTTCAGTTTGAATTCTAGAGAATTCACAAATCTCATGACAGTTCCTTCTGCTTGCAAGGTTATTAAGATGCAGCCCTTTTAATGAAGTACCTGTAAATACACAAAACCTGAAACCTTTATGTATTACATCATAATTAGTCTGACTAACCCCATCCTGTCTTTTTCTCTGGAGCATTTACTAGACATTTTATTGATATGGGCTAATGTCAATCTGACATCCACAAAAATGTCTTTTCCTAGAAAATGTAATGCAGCCAGTTTTGTTTTCCAGCTTACGTTCTGCAAGTGAAGGTGGAAATGGAGCTGGAAATCCAGCAGTATGAGAAGGCCAAGGCAGTACGAGAGGAGCAGCTGGATCGTCTAACCCAGATCTGCCAAGAACAAGCTGTACGTTCTCACTGAACTCTCTTATTTTGTTTTGTAACAGCAGGCGACCAACAGAGGGTAGCAAAGTTCCACATGAGAGAAACTATTAACTGGATTAAATCCTGATGTCAAATTTGGAAAGTCTGCAAATGTGGCATGCAGAGCATGATGTAAAAAAAGAAGTCACCCTTACAGATTTGTGCTTTTACTTTTTGTGTCACCAGTTAGTGATTTATTGCATTTCTTTGACAAGTAAGATTTAACCAGCTCATGCTACTGCTGCATCGAGAATCAAGAGTTTTCCTAAAGTGAACCTGACAACATTAAGTAAGCTAAAATATCTTAAAAGAAACATTTAATGCCCTAAAGAAGATCAGGGACACATTAAAATCAGATTCGTCTACATAAGTATTGAAATTGTTTCAGAGTTTGGGAATCAATAATAAATGTGTGAACTGCTTCATGGAGGCAGTAATCTGGCCTGAGTGAAACTTTATTTTATTGTTTACGGAAAGAAAAAGTTTTGTCGTTAAAAATTCCTCACATGTTATTTTGTTCCCTCTGCTATCCCTTCCAGTTTGAAATCAGACAGCTGAGAGCCCATCTTGCTCAGCAGGACCTGGACCTGGTAGCAGAGCGTGAAGCAGCCATGCAGATCCACCATATGTGGGGTAAACAAAGCAGCAGCTTCCAGGAGGTGGACGGATTAGCTCCTGGAGTCTCTGAGCATCACAGACCAGCCAAAGCAAGAGAGCCTCGGGGGGCTGCAGGTAACCTGCCTGAGACAACCAGCTGTGGTTTATTACAGGCCCTCAAGTACTGAGAGTTGAAGGATGGGGAACAAATTGTCATCCACTCTCCAAATTGAACAGTTAGTGGGGAAACCCTGTATCTTAATTCCATGGTATAAAAAAGCAAACAAAAAAAACGTATTTGCAACATTAAACATGTTTGGTTTAAGACAGTACTCAACTGTCCTAACCCAAACACTTTAAATGTTGCAAATAAGTTTTTCTTTTAACCCTGGAATCTGTCGTGTTTTTAAAAATATGGATGCATACAGGCAGAACCATACCGAGAACGTGCAAAATCCATACAGACAGACCCAAAGCTGTTGGGGTTTACCCAACATTTAAAATGCAGTACTTTGGAGACCTCCATATTCCCACCAACCAACCTCAATTCCTTCCATTGAGGTACCAGAGCCTGGGAACTCCAAATTCGCTCCAAGTACTTTAATGCTGGATGGATGGATGGAATCTTGTAAAGACCTGATCACCTTTTTTATGCCTGGCTTGATAAAAATCTGGAACTAATCTTTATTCACTGTCTCTCCACAGTCTGCCTACAAAATGTATGCAAAGTTTAAGTAAAAACCTTTAGACCTTAAGAAAACCCGGTAAAACTATCTAACAAATCGACTTAAAAAATAATACATGAAAAGTCTGTACCACTTTTAGCAACGCATTTGGAAAATAAAGGCAACAACCTGCAGAGGATGTACAGTAACACAACTTCCTTTATCCTCTACAGTATAACATCCATCAAACCATTTAAGTGTTGGTGTCCTCAGAATAAATCTTCTCACCTTCCTAATCAAAATTCTGGTGCCACGCCTGCACTATATATCACACAGTGAGTCAGAGCGGGGACTATAAACCTTTCACACAGAGACGGCTCATAACTCAGAGGACACAGAGCACCGTCTATACAGGTGATGTCAGGGGCTCAAAACACTGAAGCATTTTCTTTATCGATGTTATAAATCACAGCAGGACCAGACGCCATGTTTGTAGTCGGACTGCATTTCAACTGGGCCTAAATGTCTCACACTCAAGTGGTATTGATCATGTGGGGATGGTGTCTGTCGCTGTTTGGACTGAACAATGAGGAGAGGCTCATAAAAATAAAACCCAAAACATAAATCAATAAAGCATGGCGTCAGGCAACAGGGCTGCAAAGAATCTTCTAATATTTGTGAAACACATAAGCGCCACTTATCTTTTTGAAAATATTTGTATTTTTAAAACAATTTTAGGCTTTTATTAGACAATCCTTTCATTGTAGGATTGTCTTTTGGTTTCACTTTTTTTTACCTTTACATTTATCTGCAATGAAATGATTTAGTGCATCCTATCAATCCTGTAAACTTCAAGTATTCAAGGACATCATAAGATAATATAAAATAAATATAATATAAAATGTTATATATAGTGAGTTTTTTTGGTTTTTAATATTTTTCTTTTTTTGTTTAAGAATTGACCTTAATTTTACACCGTAAAAGTCAAAACTTGTTCAATATAATCTTCAGATGTATATCCCTCATTCTACTGATCCAAAGCTGCGTGAAAGCACAAACAGGTTATTACAAACATATGGAGGTCAACAGTTGTCCTACTAGTGTTTGTTAATGACAATTCCACTTCAGGGTTTAGTAGTTGTTACGAGATCTCCTATTTAACTGTCCTCATATGTTCATACCTTCTTTCTATTTAGCATAATATTGACAGTGAATTTGTGTAGTACGGTCAATTTATAACTGCAGTATATACTTTATTGCCACTAGGATGATTTTTATTTACTTATCTGTTTTCAGATCTTCATGGTCAGGATGACATGAATAACTACATCAGCCAGTACTACAGTGAGCCAAGCAGCGGTGAGCAGCAGTAATGTCATCATTGGGCCTCGGAAAGCTACAAATGAACAAATTAACTTTTTTTATGATATATTTTTAACATTAAAATTACATTAAACTGTGGTTAAGTCAGAAAGAGCAACACTTGTGTCTGTGAAGAAGGAAAAAGGTCTTTCAAAATACTAAGAAATGAAAGTGTGAAGATCTGCGTGCAATTTTCCCACCCTTTGTAGTCCCTACTTAGTAGAACCAACGTTCTCAGCACCTACATCAGCACGCATGAAGCCTTTTTGTTCAATCTGCATTGTTAAATTAGAACTGAAGTGCCAGTGATTCTCCATCTTTATTAAGCAGATTCTCAACTATATTTGGAATGTTCTTACACATTAATATACTTCAGTGTGAACCAATTCTCCGTAGTCAATGCCGTTACCATCACCTGAGTCTATGGTGTTTTAAAGCTTCTTCCACATTTCCATTTTGGATTGCAGCTTCAATGAAATCTGCATCTTTAAGATTCTGCTTAATAACATTATCCCATCAGCATGCTTCTGCCACTATTGTGTTTAAATATAGGACATTTTTGTTTAGAGTGTTGGATTGACTTTATGTTATTGTTTAGGTATGAAATATAATATAAAGGTACATGAAACTTATTTTTATCTGTGTAAATTTCATAAATATAAAGTTTACTCTATGCAATATTTCTTTATTTCAAATGAGTTTTTTTCTGTTTTGAAGATATAGGGATCCCAGACCCAGCCCGTGTCATCACAACAGCAGCCATAGATGTGCATCTGCCCAACAACCCCAGCCAGCTTCCCTCCACCTTGGTGAGTTGTGATGCGGCGCCGTCCAGCCGACTGCAACGCACAAGCAGCTCTGTCAGCGAGGCGTCTATGACCACCATGTCCCGCAGCAGCTTCAGTGGCCGCCAGCACAGCATCAGCAGCCACACGCTGGGCTCCAGCATGGACTGCAGCTCCACCGTGCGCGAGGCCTCCACCTCCACAGACTACAGTGACCAGCGCTGCTACCCGCCACCTTACAGCAGCCCTCTGGCCTTGGGCACTCAGCCACGAGGGAGTCCTAGCACTGTGGTGCAGGAGCTGCTCTACTCTCTCACTGAGGACTCCTGCCTCACTCAGAAGGGCTTGGACCCGGTCAACCTCAAACCCCCCAGTCCGACAGGTTCCACCAAAACCAGCCCTGAGCTGGAGCACAGAGTGAACATCTATAACAAGAGGAACCAAGAGAGCCGGCTCGGGATCCTCAACAAACCTGTCATCCACCTGCAGAGTAATGAGCCTCTGCTTGAGGAGAAATACAGGATGATGGGCCCAGTGGAGACTTCAGTCAACCGCCTGTCAGAGGCATAGGGCCTCACAAAATTATTTTTCAATCAGGACTTTTTGGATCAGAAGCAAAAAAAGGAATGAACAATCCTGATGGAAGACGCTGGCACATGAACTACGCCTTTGTCTTTATGTTGCTGGAATTTTAAAGGATCAACTTGCTGAAAAGGGCATAAATAAAAAAAAAAAAAAGGATTAATCCATCAGGCTACTCTTATCAGGAATTGACAATTTCTTACCTTTCCTAAAATAAACCAGCAATGTGGTCTAAGCTAGGAGTTATGAAAGAGCCTGTGCAGAAAATGTTGCTTTTTTTAGTTGTTTATTGAAAATGAAAAGAAATATGATGGTGCTGAGTTCACGACTCTTATGTCTCATCTCATCACCTGAAAGCAACATCTAAGATGTCAAGGTAGTGACTCTGGCATCTCCACACTCATCGAGAACCGTCCTTATTGACGAACTGCTGCAGGGCGAATTTTAGTCAGCTTATTCTTTGACTTTCTAATCTTTTTTTTAAAACAGACAGCTTTAAAAAAAGAAATTCAATCTTTGAACTGTTTTTGTTCTCCAGATGCCATGATTGGACGCTAACCAAGCCCTGTTTAATCAGATTACTCACGATTTTACCAAATTTAAATTTAAATGTTTTTGTCTTTGTAATATTTTAATTTTGTGTAAATGTTCAAGAATTGGTACAATTATCCCATAAAAAAAGAAACAAGATTAAATAAAGTGCAAAAAAAAAAGAAGGCATGAACCTTTAAGATGTGTGACCATGATGCAAACTTGAAGAGTTTCTGTGATCAAGGAAAAGCAATGCTGCAACAAAACATGGTTAATTCATAAAGGTTTTGAGCCATGTATTTAATAAATGCTTTTCAAAAGCATATCTTCACTTAGTGTACTTGTCCTTTGAGTCAATGAGCAGAGCTACACCTTACATTTCATTTTTAAAAGAAGTACCAACTGTTCTAGCTCTTAAAATACAAATCAACACAAAGAACAAAATGTAGGTACAGGTTATTCATTAACAGTTGGAAATCTGCTGTCTACATTAAAAAACTCGGACAGAAAGATGAGATTTTGTAGCACAACATTCATCTTCAACACATTGTTAAGGCAGCGACTGCTTCCCATGACGACTTTCTAATTCCTTTCTTTCTCTGCGACGAGGCGCTGCGTTGTTTCTCCTCACTTGCTCAAAGCTTCTGTCATCTCAGGAACAGCCTACAGAGAAAACAGAGGGTATTACTTTACAGTCATCAAACAAGCAGTATTAGCAGAGCTATTTACTGCAACAGCAGGCACTTCCATTCAAAGGATAATCTATATGACAACTTTAATTTGATTATTGTGCCAGCAATCATGTCCGCTTTGATAGTTGGAGAAACAAGTACAACCATTTGGGAATACAACAGTAATTTGGGGGCGACAGTGGCGTTGGATGTAGGAGTTTGCCCTGAAATCAAATGGTTGATGGTTCAGGCCCCAGCTCTGGCTTGTGTGTCCTTGGGCAAGACATATTGCCTACTGATGGTGGCGCCAGTGTACGGCAGCCTCGCTTCTGTCAGTGAGCCCCAAGGCAGCTGTGGCTAAAATGCAGTTTGCCACCATCAGTGTGTGCGTGAATGGGTGAATGATTGAATGTAGTGCAAATATATATAATATATATAAGTACAGGCCATTTACCATTTAATTTGCAGGTTTGCACCCAACAATGAGTTTTGAGATTTTCTGAGACATTTGTGACATGCAGGCTATCCAGGCTGCTTGAACTCTTCTTTGTTCTTCTGTGTTCTGCACTTTATTCAGATCTTAATGGAAGTCAGTCCAACACAAATAATTTAAGTCAGACTATTTGTAAAGATGTTGATAGACCTGATGGAGAACATCCAAATATTAATTTTTACCGAAGTTTAAACTTAACTTAAAATTGAAGGTATAGTGGAGGATGTTCTTTTTCCGGGTGGATCATCAAAATAAGTGGTCCTCCTAAATGGCAATCATTCTGGTAATATGTTTACATAAAGCCTTCCTATGTGCTCCTCCCCATTTTCGCTTAAAGGTGTGGAAAATATAGCAAACCTTCTTTTGGAAAGTAAGCTTGTATGAGCGATGCAAACAGCAACTTTTAAACAGAGCGTACGGGAGGAGAAAAGGGCTTGGAAGGGGAACCACCCGTTCTTACTGAAGCCTTTTTACAGCCTCTAGATCAGGGATGTCACAACCCAGTTGAGGTCCAGTGCTGGTGTCCAGCACTTTTTAGATGTATCTGTTTTAACACACCTCAATCGAATAATGATGTCCTTTCCCAGAACTCTGGAGAACTTGACTTCAACAGACGATGTAATTAAGCCATTTTATTCAGGCGTATTGGACGAGGGAGGTTATCTCAAAGGTTGCAGGATACCGGCCCTTGAGGACAGGAATTTGACATCCCTGACCTAGATAAGCTGCCTCTCCATTAAACATCAAATTGCATAAATTGTAATTACGAAAATAAATTTGCTAAATGGAAACACTGCAATAAATAAAAAAAGCTATTTTTTTCCCACATTGGGGTAGTTTTTCGGTCGCATCGGAAATATATTTTGCAAAACTGCAATGAAACCCTTCTTTCTTATCTCACGAGTGACCTGATCTACAGCTGGAGCTTCCTTGCCTTGTAAATAGACAAAGAAGAAGACCGGAAGCAGTTGGAGGAGGATGGCACAGCATATTTGTCTGTATGAGGAGCTGGAGGATTTATTTTTATTTTTTACATTTAGTTTGCGATGATGAGCCCGATGAGCATTAGATCCTTACAGGAGAAAAGCATAACGGCAGCAGGATGTTTCAGAAGCTTGAATGTTTCAAGGCATTCAGCTTTATTCCAAACAACAGCTAGTTTAAAGGACCTCTTTATGGGTTTGTTATTGTTATTTTACTATCCAGCACAGATTTGTATATTGCATTACTGACAGCTTTCCTGTCAATAGATCCTCCTACCTTGGCTGCAGTCCCCTTGACTGATTTTCTGATTACTGCATTTCTAGATCAAGTGTTTCAATGCTGCTGTAGAGTAATAATCTTGGTAGGTCCTCTATCTGTGTTCACATGATGGACTTTAAAAAGAAACCACTGCAAGATGTTTAAAGCTGAAATTATTGTTTTATAACCCAACTCTGCTTTAAAATCTACAGAACTTCCCCTCTGCTGGATTTATACAGTCATCGAAATCCAAACAAATAAACCTTTATTAAGAAAGTAGATGACTTCTGAGTTAGTTACAGTGGATTTTATTAATAGGATATCAAAATAAGAGGGGCTGGATGCAAATGTAAATCTATTAATTAAGGATTTAATTTTCAATTATTAAAACAATATAATAAATGTATCCTTTTATTCCATCCCATAACTATGAACCCCTTTTTGTTGGACTGCTGCTGAGATAAAATGTGCTGTTTTTGGTGATAACGCCTGGTGTCACAGTGTGGAAAAGTTGAAAGGTATGAAGTATTTTTTTGTTCATGGTAATGCGGCTGTAGGCGTCTCTTTCAGATGAACATGTCAGCTAATTTATTCACGTGCCTCTGGATTTGACTCCAGCTGAGGAGAATCATCAGTCACTGCCCGAGTTCCTGCAGGGTATCGATGTCCATTTAGGAAAAAAGCAGAGAGCCCATCCATTTTAATCAGTTATCTGAGGAGTGATCACATGTAAGATGATCTCACCCAGCAGGTCACAACTCTGCTGCTACCAGCTTATTCCTAATCACTCCTACAGAGTTTGTCAGGACACCTGGGCTGCTCAGCCACTACTGAAGGGCTAAATAAAACATGACCAACCGGACACACATGAAAATATAACCTGCTAGCCTTTCACAGACAGCACTGGACTCCGCTGTTAGTCATGCCAACTCGCCTGGCTCAATATCCTCGAGCACCAACTTGACACAAGAACGCAACTGAGCGTATAAAAGGCTTGGCAAGTCCACGCTAAGAACAACAACTTGGGCCAACTTTTATCCAGCTATTGATCAGTTCTGATATCTCCTGAGATGCTAATGTGGACTCCTCATGGCAGCAAGCACCAGCCAGAACCCTTCTTAGATTAATTCAAGAGCTTAATAATTCAGCAGTTGCACATTTCCATTAGCTGGAATAAGGCATCCTGCAAAATTTATTAAGTCAGGAAACAAATGTTATATTCTTCCCGTCATTCAGGACTAAAAGCTAACAAAACATTGGGAGTAAAGTTGCTTCGTCAAACCTTATATGAGACTGTTTTACCTATAGATGCTCACCTTAAAAAGATCCGCCACGAGGCCGTAATCAGCCACCTGGAAAATGGGAGCTTCTGGGTCCTTGTTGATAGCAACGATAGTCTAAAGGGGAAAACACAGACACACACTATTAAAACACATCAAATGTAGTTATGACACCGCTAATATGGGTTAAACTTTGTTAGAAAGAAAAATCAAACCAGAGAAAAAGTTAAAAAACAACTTTACCTTACTGTCTTTCATTCCGGCCAAGTGTTGAATAGCTCCAGAGATTCCAACAGCAATATACAGCTCCTAAAAAAAAATGACATTATTTGGAATTAGACTAAAGTTTATTAAACCACCATGAACCCCTTAAGATGAAGTGCAGATGAAGTTCTTTGCACCTTGGTGAAGATGTTTATCAATGAGCTAAAATAAAATTAATCTTTCCATGCAAGGCATTTGTTCCCCACAGTGAATAATTTGGAAAAAATAATACTCAGTATGAGTACTTTTCTATGAATGACTGTTTCTAAGGAACTCAGAGGTGCACAAATAATGGTTCAACATTGATGCTTATATAATCCCTCAATGCTGAACAGAACAGAACAGCATTGGGTCATCGCTTATTAAGGTCTCACAAAGTGGGAGCATTCAGAGAGAAAGAGCTTTCCTCCTCTGACTAAATTCTTAACCACACTCCAGACTAAATTCTGTATCTTCAACTCCTTTCTCTTTCCCAGCACACCTCCCTACTCAGAAGATGGAAGGTTTATGCTGTTTCTGGAGAACTGTTTGTTTGTTGATTGGATCATTATCCTGCTATAAGACCCAACAAAAGCCTTTACCTTAATCTACTGGTAGAACTCATGTGATTTCCTATTTAAGGGTCATATATCATTTTAATGGGCTGAAATAATTAAATGTATTATTCAAGATTAATTGATTATTGAAATCAACTAATTTAGAAAATGATTAATCGTTAACTATATGACATGCCATTAGCTGACGGAGGAACCCACCTTGAGAAGTAATTATACCAAAATTGTAAAAAAAAAAAATATGTAAATATTTTGCATTTAATATGCTCTATTCAGAACTCCTGAAGTGGAAAAGTTTCCATTTCAACTAAATTTTTTTAAAAGTTCTCTTTAAGGAACCTTTGGCCATATAAAATCGACAGATAAATCGATTTGCTAAATAATCGTTAGTTGCAGCCCACACATATGGTGATTAGGCTATTTAAGAAAGCTGAATGATGCCTCCATGTTGACATTGTGAATGAAAGACAGGAAACAACCAGTTTCATACAGCAATGGTCTACCGGTTAAGCTGAGACTTGGAAACACCAGATTTCAATCTTTTTAATTTCTACCGTATTTTTCCCAGCCAAGTAATAATTGAAAAATGTAGGTCTTTAAAATTGTGATCCATTAATTAGAGAACCTTATGCATTCTGTTATAAAAATAATTTTAAAAAGCTTTAAGTGTACTTTAAAGGTACTCTAAGGAACACAAACAATTATACATGGATTTTTTTTTCATATAATTGTTCTAACTCCTTTCTTCCCTGCATTTGATAAATGCTCTCAATTAAAAACCAAGAAAATTTTCCTTTGAAATAATATCATACATCAATGGATTAATTCAGTTTCTCCATGAATATGGCTTGCACTGTCCAGTTAACTTCTCATATGAGGTTTCAGAGGAAGTACACTATCCATGCATGATCTAATTGACAGAAAAAAAAATAATGAAAATGACTCGTCTGCAGCTCTGCTCACTCTCCATGCACCTCTCCATTCCGCTCTAATGGATCAGTTAAATCACTTATGGCCGCTAAAAGTGCCAGCATGCACATTTCAAAGGAGCCTAATGTGTGGATAATCACAGCTGGGGTATCCTGACTGAATCACATAATGGTGAGTTAAGCTTTTCAAAATGAGAAGCCATCACTATCACACTGAACTGATGTGTTGAGGGTGATATAGAGACCACTCAAAGCAAAGCGTACAACATTAATACTGCCAATGAGCTTAAGCTCTGCTAAAATTTGAAAGATGAAACACCCACCTCCACCCACCTCCCAATATGTTGAACTATAGTAAGGCTGGACATACCGGTGCTACTATCTTGCCAGTCTGTCCAACTTGCATGTCATTCGGGACAAATCCAGCATCCACAGCAGCTCTTGAGGCCCCGACTGCAATAAAAATGATTCGCATTCTTATCTAAGAGAACCATCTAGTTTGAAAAAAGAACTACAAAAAACCCTTAGATTTCTCAACATACCAGCAGCGTTTAATTTGTCAGCAAGGTCGTAAAGCAGCTTGAAGTTGTCTCCACTCTTCAAGCCTCTTCCTAAAGAAAAACAAACAAAAAAAAAAGCATTAGTTGTTTAGAACATGTTCTACCAACCCATTTTTTTGTAAAAAAATCATTTTCAGATATTAAGACCATGAGGCGGTTGGTTTATACCTCCTGACACCACAACCTTTGCACTTGTCAGCTCTGGACGGTCGCTCTTTGTCAAGTTTTGCTCCAGCCACTCAGAAACTCCAGTAGGAGGAGTAGAAGCCACTGCGAGTACAGATGCCAACAATCACAAGCACAAACAAAACCAAACCTCCAATTAGATTGCTTACTTTCTTTTACGCAATTACAAAAGAACAGATTTGTGACACCTTCTTCTGATGCCGCGTTTCCTTCCCCCACAGGTGCTGCTTCAAAGGCCGTCCCTCTGACAGTGAAGACCTTGACTGCCTCGTTACACTTCACAGTGCTGAGGGCGTTTCCTGTACCAAACCAACATGCTTTACTTTAGAACTAGAGGAAGAATATTACCCCAAGACTTTTAGACTTAACAAAAGATGGACACAATAGGTGCAAATGATTTATTTAATGAATGCACTTCCTAAAGTGTATAGTCTTGTTCTTAAGTTTGTCATACCTGCATAGATAGTCCTGACAAAGGTATCTGGAGATTTGATTTCAATAATATCTGAAACTGGGGCAACATCCAACTTGGCAGCGACTCTGGGAAGCAGATTCTATAAAATAAAATGCTGAGAGTTGGACTAAAGGACAAAAAGTACAAACTACAGACAGAGGTGGCAGAATGTTACCTTTCCAAAAGCAGAAGCTCCAGCACAGATATGAGTGAAGTTGAACTGCTTTTGCGTTTCCAGGATAAGGGGAGTCAACTCCTCTGCAAACAGAAAAACATGCAATCAGATTGAAAGGTAAATGCTGCCAATTATACTAAACAGCCAAAGAATCAAAGAACAACACTCTCTCATAAATTAGTTATTTAAAAAAGTAGATCCCTAAAACTTAAAAAGAATTTTTTTGATATTTATTCAGTGATAGGCACAACTCTTTCAATAAATATAACAGGTAACATACCAGGCAAGGCGCCTTTGTAAGAGTCATGTTGGGCCACCAGAATCTTCTTCACACCCTGTACTTTGCTGATTTCCTCCACAACCTAAAAGCATTTCGATAAAATTAATTACAATGAAAATGTACCATTCACAATTTTACTATGTATAATCAAAAGTCTACAAATCATGATATAATCCTGAATTTCTAAAACCCCATAAGTCAAACTAGCATTCTGGAATTATGGCATGTCTGGATACAGTCCTAATCAATCAATAAGATTAAAAAAGAAAAGGTTATTTTTTAAATAATCTCACCTCACAAACTGACAAAAAATATATAAATACCAGACAGACTTGTGTTTTCAAGTCTGTTTTTTTTAACTAAGACAATTTTCTGCTTACAGTTAATGAAAAAAAAACACTAAATTATGATTAGAGCATTAAATCAGACCAATAAAATAAATAAATCTGAAGGATTTTACTATAGAAATGTGGGTTTTTAATAAAACTCTGTTAAATACCTGTTCAAATGTTATTTACTGAAGGTTAAGTACAATCTGTCTCATTGGAATGTCAACAAAACAGTAATCTTAGATTGTTCTACTTTATGTTCTAGTTGTAAGAGGAGGTCAGATTGGCCTAATATTAATAAATAACCTCATTGAGAAAAAATGGATCTACATTTTCTTGAGGCTTCGATCTGATTTTATCATCTGCAAACTAAGGTTTGGATTTACTAAACATTTCAGATTTTTGGTAACACACTTCTCATTTGATGGGCATGATAAACTGAACGAAACATGAAGAGGGTTTTATATTTCAGTCAGGACTATAAAATAGCTCTGTTATTGCGTTTTTGTTCAACACTTTGGACTGTGGACAAAAATGAGCAAGTCTATTAAAATCCAAGATAAAGAGAGGATATTTATTTAATAAACAGGGTTTTATTTATTTATCTATTATTATTAACAAGATAAACCCACAAGGAACCGGTACTCTGACAGGTATCGATCGATCAGGGATAAAGCTGTTTCAGACCAAGCTAAACATCATCATAAACATAAACTGAAGTGCATCCACTTTTAGTAACTATAGTAATAAATTCAGTAAACATTTCCTACCTTTGCACAGTTTGTTCCTGCGACCAGACAAGACACATCTCCACCCAGTTTACCAGCAGCAGTGATGGCGTTGAGAGTAATGGGGGTCAGCTTGTCATTATTGTGTTCTGCAACAACCAAGGTGCTCTGAAACCTCTGGATGAGGCCAGTCTGTTGGAAAACACATCTCAATCACTATGTGAGGAAAGGGGCTGTGAATGAATTGGCACTTCTACTGAACTGACAGCTGGGGTCCAGATAGGGATCAACTGTCATTTCTGCCACAGTAGCCTGACATAACCTAGCGACACTGTTTAGGAGCATCAAGAGTAATTTAATTTCTACATACAAAGTAGTTATGGCCTACAATATTTAGGCAGAAAAAACGATAAAACAGATATAATTAAGCCTAAGTAAATACAAATTAAGGTATAATCCTTCCAGGTAGGGTTTATTATTGCTCTGGATCAAACGGTTGTAGAACTGCTGAACTGTAATATTCAAAAAAGTTCTTGGCTGAACCGCAGAAAATACAAATAACATAAGTCTGCAAAGCTTAAATACATTATAAAGGCCTAAAATATCAATTGATAAATCAAAGACTAATTAGAACTGTAAACAAATGAATTTTAAAAACTCACAACCACAGATGAGAACTTTTGAACAACACTAATACCCTGCCATCTTTAATCAAAGTCATATCTCTATGAACATGTAGGAACAAGCCTGTATAAACTGGTGTGGGCCAAACTACTGAGGTGACATCCAGATAGCAGGCAAACAACCTCTAGACAAGCTACATCCAGCTGTTTCACAAGAGAACAGGAAAATACCAGCTGCTTCTAGACATCATAGATGTGACAAATGATGGAAAACAATCCGAAAAAGTAAAACACATGCTCCTTTTCCTCTCATTTAAATGCTAACCACAAATAACAGCAACTGTCCAAAGTATTAACAGCTTAAAAATGAAGCTATACTTAAGTTCTGCAGAATAACGGAACACAATATAAAGGGAAATTTTAAAACATAGACAAAGCTGTGAAAAACTAAAGAATCTGAATGTTTCAATACATGCAGATTTATCTGTAAATATAGTGCTACTTAATGTTTACAGAGGGTTTTAAGGTTGTAACTCTTGAAAAAGATTCAAGAGCAAATAAAATATGGTGGAAAGCTATGAAAAATATTAAACTACGACTCTTATAGTAGCGCTGTATTTATTGTCATTGAAGCAGTTTCGTAACTTGTGCTGCGAGGTTTCATAATAGCTATGCTAACGCTGCTAAAACCAGAGTATTGGCTAGAAATGAAGGATTAAATGAAAAATATTTCAGTGTCTAAAGTTTACAAATAGCAAATTTTACCATATTAGAAGTACAACTGTTGCAGACGGATATCAAAAGTTTAACAACTGCTTGATTAGTCCAACTGAGTGAGCTAACCAGTTAGCATCAGCTACATAAACAAGTAAGATGTGCGGCGCTATTAAACTTAAACATTTTAAACCAAATAATGTAGCGGCTGTGTTTAATCAGCAAAACTCTTACCAGGCTTCTTAAGGTGGATTTATTTAAAACTCTGTTCATATTGGACCTCTGGTGTTTCTTCTGCGTTCTAGTTGCAGGGGTGTACAAGTGGACTTTATGCAAGGACGTTAGCAGTGAAATCTCGCGATACAGACAGTGTGGCAACATCTGTCTCCGCCTCATGACAGCAAAACATAATCTTGAGGCTTTTGTAACGGTTCTTGAAATTTCCAAAAGAAATGAATCTATCTATCTATCTATCTATCTATCTATCTATCTATCTATCTATCTATCTATCTATCTATCTATCTATCTATCTATCTATC